TTTGCAATATCTTGTCGAAAAGGCTCTAAAAAGAATTGAATCGATTTTGCAGAATTTCGTTAATTAAACAGTGAAAACAAAACACACCCGTCACCCACCACGCATGCATTAGCACCTATACAATCACCACATACAGCACAGAACAAAATTGCTTGGATTAACCCGTAACTAATATTTGATAATTACTCACTTACCCTTTGGAACTCATTATTCTTCCAGTGAAACCGAAAACACGCACAAGAACCCAAACACGAAACTAAATACCTAAAAATCTAAACATTAAAAATGGCGCAATGGCGGCAGCCGGCAGCTTTGGCTCAGGCTTCCTTGCTTCAGCTTGCCTTCTTGCCGTTTCCTTATCCCTTTCCTTTCCACATTTGATATCTGTGGTGGGGGGTGCACCTCTGTAGTACACCACCTGCACGATCGGAGTATCTCTAAATCTCTAATTAATCACTGTCGACTGCAGGCACTCCAGGCAGCGCATGTAGAGCACTCAGAGCAGACTCTACTCTCTCTGGTATCTTGGTAAGTGTTCAGGGAGTGCTGTTAGCGTACCGCTAATTCGCACACTAAAATAATGCGGTTTTGCAGTGGTTTCCCTGCACTTCACAGACCATTCAATTTAAAAGTTGAAATTAGAGCATTTTTTCGACGCTGCTAGCTTACTTTGATTTGGTTTGTTTTATTATACGCACTTTTAACATACTTCTGAAGCATTACCATTGAAATGCTATTTTCTCTGAAGTCGGCCGGAACTTTTCGAGCACATTGACGCACATTGTGTTATCTGGGTTGTTTTCCATGATTTATGATGAATGTTCACCTAAATCCCATATATTCATATTTGAAAGTAACAAGGGGTTGGGAACAAGATGGCGGTGTTTTCAATATAAATATATGCGATTTTAGAACCAATCAAAAATAAGACAGCAATTGTCGCCACTGTGGGTAATAGAGTCACTGTACAGTGACTCTATTACCCACAGTGGCGACAATTGCTGTCTTATTTTTGATTGGTTCTAAAATCCCATATATTTGTATATTGGAAACGCGGCCATCTTGTTGCCACCTATTGCTTAGTTTGAGTTTGGGAACAAAATGGCGGCGGGACCTCTATTGTCCTTCGCCAAGTCAAAAATTTAGTAACTATGTTGGCAACACTTCTAAATAAAAAAATTGAATAGCATTAACAATTTTACATTGTATTGAAAAAGTCCTTCAGGTGATATTCAGGTGAAAATACAGAGGCGTCTGGCAATTTTTGGACCAATAGGAAGCAAATTACAGCGATAATTTTGCACAAGTGCTAATGCCGATAATTTTTTTCAGGTATTTTTTACCTGGTTCAACGAGTTAATATCAGCTTTGTATACAGTAAATTTGACACAAATTATCAGCTTTCTATACAGTAGATTAGACTATTTCCAAATCGATGTTTGAGATCTCTTCGAATTGATCGGCGTAAGGTCTTCGATACTTTTATCAATATCAGCCGCTGAACTCTTTCAAAACGAGCCATATTTGCTTACAAATTCGAAAATGAAACCTTTGACAAATTTGTTGATTGACAAGCAATGAAAATAGGTATATCTATAATTTTTGAAAAATTTGCACTCATGCGTTTTTAACTGAAAAAGGCACACGGAAAAAATTATACAGTGAACGATATTAAAAATATAATATGCTTTATTGAAAAATATTAATCCATATGGGACGATTACCTAAGATAATAAGACATATAATATTTTTTTATTAATCAATATACAAGATTTTCTATTGAGAATAAGTATCCTTTCTCATTACCGATATTATAAAATTTTAAAATGTTTCACAATAAATTTACCATAAAGTCTATTACTTGATGTAATATAATTGAAGAATACAGTTTTATTAGATAAATAATACGTAGATTTTAAAGTTTAGTATGTTTTATAATAAATAATATAATAGTTTTATAATAAATTGTACTACACCTTTATATTAAATTTTATTATATTTTTTCATAATTTCTAAGGTAGGTATATAATAAATAAAACAATTTTTTACATATTTTTCGGTATCACTTTTTATTGCATATAGTATAAGGTATATATGTATATAAGAAGGTAACAATAAGGTGAACAATTCGAGAAAATTAAATCATTATTTGATATAATGTTGAAACTAGGCAATGTTCTGTGTATCATTCAGAAATATTTCGTTGATGAGGTATCATTCAGAAAAAAAATCCCTTTTGATATACATAATCGATGTTCATCAAACAATCCATTATTTTGATGTTACTTATGTTGAACTAGAACCAGATCCTCTAAATAAGCCTAAAATTTACAATAAAAATATTCAAGTAGGTAATTATCCTATTTGTATTTTGGTAGTGACTATTAGCAACAATTTTCAAAATAGGTACTTATATATTGTATACCTACTAGACATATAAAAATCAAGAACTTACTTTTTTTTCTGGAGGTGGATCCTGGATGTCGTTGTTCCTCAAAATGAGGCGTATCAGGTACCCAGTTTTGATCGATAGAAAAGTTCCTCACAGTACCTGCTGGCAAAGTCTCTACTGGCCTAATTTCGGGAAACTACACCAAATTCTAGATCACCTAGCTGAAAATTATAATCTTTTCAAATTAACTGAAATTTGAAAAAATATACGCCCATTTTATGGTTCAGTGATACTTACATTCAAATGTTTCCTAATATGGAAAGGTCAAAACTTTCCAATATCTTATTCATACTTTCCATGGGAAAGAGATACAGGACAGTCAAGACACAATAACGAAGTACGAATATGAGGAAATGCCGCGCGTTTCCCTTCTGAAAGTTTTGTGCAGACTACAGCAATAAGCAAGCAAAAGCATATCCCAAAAGGTTTAAAAATTTTGTGCGTAAACAGTATAATCTTTGTTAGTAAAATTTATGAAATAAGATTTTCCCTTTTTTAAACTGATGTTAGTGAAATTTGAATATTTTAGTATTTGTGTATTATGAACTGTACTACCTAATATGCTAAAATGCTACTATGAGCAAATAGGTCATAGACTTAACAAAAAGGTATAATAGGACACCTAATTTATTATATTTTATAATTAAAACCACACCCCATTTTTTATGACAAAAGATTCTACTATAATTTTTTATATCATTTATTATACATTGCTATTATTTCGTTTATTAGAAATATGTGATTATTAATATTATACAAGGTTGATAAATCGTAATAATAGTTATTTATGCAACAAGTGTGTAAAGTGTTTTGACGCACGAGCCGGAGGCGAGTCCGACAATCACATGAGTGAAAAAAGGTGCTTTACGCACGTATTGCATACAAAATTTTTTCTACTACCAATCAAATATGCGTATAAAAATAAATTTAGACAAATACTTTACGCACTAGTGCGTGAAGAATTTTCACTTCACGCACTAGTGCGTGAAGTAATCTACCAGAAAAATGCCAAATTGACAGTTCGACATCTGTCACTGACATTACTTCACGCACTAGTGTGTGAAGTGAATTACTTTACGCACTAGTGCGTGAAGTGAATTACTTTACGCACTAGTGCGTGAAGTGAAATTTTACGTCTTCTGAATAATGCGTAAAGTGAGTACTTTACGCACGGTAGTAGAAAAAATTATTTTACATGCTATAATATATTTTTTACAATACAATATATTAAAGGGATTTTTTTCCGTGCACTCGTGCTCTTTTTCAACTATAAATGCATTCGGGCAAATTTCCCAAAAATTATCGATAATTTTCATTGCACTTTGTTATATTACTACTGAAAACATAATGTCATTTTGACTTTTATCTTTAAAAAAAACAGACTTTAGGTAACCAGAAACTTTGCAATGAAGTTGTTTACAATTATACAGGGTGTGTCACGTGTCACAAAAGTGCGGTGAAGCAAAGTTATACTTTTTTAAATGGAACACCCCGTATATTTGACCTATTGGATTAGCTTTCAAACCTGATTCCAAATGTACTACACCATTTCCAAATCTAAGCGGCGGTAAATGACATTCAATAACCTAAATTGTAAACAAACACCAGCCTTCCTATTGGTTGAAACGCCCTACCTTGACCAGTGCGCATGCACGGAGCTCATTTGATAGGTTGTAATGAAAATGACCAGTTTGTCATTTACTGCCGCTTGGATTTGGTTCAACCATAGGTTTTTTTCGGGTTATTCGCGTCATAGTCCAGCCTCTCAATATCCCATTTTGAAGAAATACTATGGATTTTTTACTTTAATGAGAACCTTTATATACTCCTGGACAAAATTATCGCACAGTGCACCACTGCTTATGGTGATGCTACATATATGTGCAATGGTGCGATAATTTTGTCCAGGATTTTTGCTGGTAGTCTCTATACTTCACCTTTTTCAATAAAAATGCAATTATTCCACCCCTTTTCATTATCTTATCATCTCCCGGACTATTAGAAATAAACCTAAAAACCTGGTACATTTGGCATCAGGTTTGAAAGGCTAATCCAATGGGTCAATAATATACGGGGTGTTCTATTTAAAAAAGTTAAAATTTGCTTTGGCACTCTTTTGTGACACACCCTGTATACTTGTAACTAACTTCAAAGTTTTTTGAATATGTGTATTTTGTCCATTAATTTATTAATCTCAATCATAATCGCTATCGTATGGACGATTATATAACTGAATTATTATATTTTCACATAAAATACCAAAATGGCACCTAAAGTCTGTTTTTTTTTTTAAAGATAATTCCCGAAGTCAAAAATTTAGTAACTATGTTGGCAACACAAGCCTTTTCTACATAAAAAATTTGAAGCTTTGACAATTTTACATTGTATTGCCAACATAATGTCATTTTGACTTTTATCTTTAAAAAAAAACACACTTTACAAAAATCGCATCCCAAAATAACAAGAATTTGTTTAAATATTTGTCAGTTGGCAACACTGTTACAGCGGCGCCGACACCACCAGCGCCTCGCGGTAAAAAATCTACAAACTAAAATCGACGTTTTCCGTTTTCTTTTGTCTGGCCGTTCTGTCATCCATTTTTATATGGCGGCCTTCCGTGTCAGTGTTTTAAAAAATTCAAAAAACAGGTAAAAACAGTGGAAAAAAATCGATTTTTTTCGTGGCATTTTTTTCGGGGTGAGTTAAAAATTCGATTTTTTTTTTCAGTTCGCCTTAATGGGCCGACGTAGTAGGTCAAAATCTCCTTTCTCGTCTGTTGGGAGAAGACGGGATAAAGAAAGGGACAGAGAACGGGATCGGGATACAAGAGACAAGGAACGACACAGTAGAAGGAAAAGGTCTAGAGATAGGTCTAGGGAAAGGGATAGGGATTGGGGGGAGAGCAGGAGGAATCGTTCCCAGGAAAGACGTCGTCTGTCACTTTCAAGAAGCAGATCAAGGTTAGTAAACAACAATTTTACCCTTTTCATTATTAATTCTCCTTTCTATTGTTTTAGGTCCCCAAGGCACAGTAGAGGTAGCCAATTAATACCAGAAAGGCCTGTAGTTACAGCAGCAGATCTGGAAGGTAAAACAGAAGACGAACAAGAAATGATGAGAATGATGGGTTTTTGTTCTTTTGACACAACCAAAGGTAAAAAAGTCGAAGGTAATGATGCAGGTACAGTGCACGTTATTCTCAAAAGAAAATACAGACAGTACATGAACCGAAAGGGCGGTTTTAATAGACCTTTGGACTTTGTAGCGTAATGTTTCTTCTTGACTCTGTAATTTGAACAACCACTACTTACCTCATTGTCAGGTTAATAACAAGCTTGTTATTACAAAAACTGAAACTCACTGGTTTCTGTTTTTTTGTAATAACAGGCCAAATGTTAGCCCATACCAAGCATGAATAATAAGCGTTTTTATTATTGATGCCTCATTTTTATACCTCACTTATAAACGTTCAGGTTTCCACATATTGTTAAAAATTTCTGTGAATATAAGACTTAAGTCGACACGGGTTGTTCAGTTATTATATTTTTTTCACAATTTTATTTATATTATATTAGATTAGTTATTAGGTTATGAACTTGTTAACACAGAATTGCTATGGGATTATTGGATTATCAAAATTGTATTGTTTGAAAGCACAGTGAATATCAGAAACTCAACTTGAATATTATACTGTAGCAATTCTAAAGTGATTTAGTTAAAATTAACGATGAATGTACGTCTGATTTTTATAAATAATGCGAAATATAGAAGTATTGTTTTTAAACTTGTTTATTTCATATTTCATAGGATCCTTTCTATATTTTGGCTCATATTCGTCAAATGGCCAACCTCTATGCATAATTTTGCTGGGAAATTATGCCTTGAGAGAATTTCCCTTTAGTTAAGGAAATTAAAATAATTAAGTTTGGCAACATCGTGATATATTCCATATTTGTGGCGCCATCTGTCAACCATATTTTGAAATTATATGCTTTTTATCACTTTTTATAATGCTTTTTATACACAATCCAACATGAGTCAGCTACCGCTTTCTGTTAAAATTACTGGGCAATTCTGGCTGTTTATAAACAGAAATTATGTTATTTGCATTTATTGATGATTTTCTTGAAGAATAACAGAAATCTGTAATTTCATTTTTTAGAACAGCTTAGAGATGACACTACTTGTCAATGTCAAATGTTTGTTTATGTTTACATCCTCGGTCTTTTCAAGTTTAAAACAATTAGAAATTTTCTATTCTGTATACTTTTACTTTTATATCATTGTTTATATTTTATTCCTTGCAATGGTAAGAATTTTGTATTTATCATTTTATTATAGCTTTCTCAGACCTTCTTGCAAAAAATTATTGATGTTATGACTTGAAGGTGGGTTTATACAGCCACATAACATAATATAAGAAATAACATAACATAACATAAGAAATAAGAAGGTTGGTTAACTTTTAACTTTTAGTATTTACTACTCGATTCGCCTGCCTCTGCTTCGCAATGTATATAAAATTGTTTGTCATAGTTAACAGAAGATCATCTATAAGAGAATATATTATTGCCTACGATCAAATTCTAGTAGTAATAACATTATAACTTTGCTTTAGTCTGGCTAGCCCAATGAACTATAACCAAAAACCATAGAGACACACCGGCAAAATTAGGGGAACATACAAAATTTACACGTTTGACATCAATTGTCTCTTGAAGCCTCTGCTCGATTCCGTTGAATTTTTCACAGATTGTAGCTCGATTCTTCAGGAATACATCTGACGTATTACCGTTATTGAATGATTCGTCTTTATATCGTCATATACAGGGATGGAAAGAAAGTCAGTAATTTTCACAGTTTTTTGAGACACCCTGTGGAGTGAACCACTGGAAATTCAGAACAGTTTTCAACACCAAATTGTAGCCTGATCTTTTCCGAACATTTTCATTTATTCGACCTCAATTTTGTCCACGTCGGCATACGCATTGGATATGAAAATGTGTCGTTTTCCAACTTCAATTAAGTCGTGTGTGTGAATGTTGAATGTTTACTTCAAGTTAAATATTGCTCGCAGTTTTACCTTTAGCGATCAATTTTATTGTGAAAAGAATGCTAACAAATATACAGGGGGATCAGACAGTCCCTTTCATGATTTCCATTTGGTGGAATATTATTTATCTAAAGTAAACTCTCTAAACTCTCCCTTCACACTTAACCAAGGCTTAGGAACGAAAGTCAAGATTCTTATTTAATTTTAATTGATAAAAATCCAACATGGGTTATATGACTCCTACTGATGCCAAGGTAAAAAACGATCAACCACGGCCAGAGACGACAGATTTTATGTTTTGCAAACATTACGGAACAGGCGTAGAAAAATACCACAAATAAAAAACGTACTGAAAAGTATGTGGAAGGAGGACAAGTCATCGAACCATCAGCAGAAGGATCAGAGAAATCGGTTTGAAGGCCTATAGAACAAAGAAAACTCCAAAACTCCAGCAGCGTCATCGAGTGGCAAGACTACGCTTTGCTAGGGAGCATGAAAATTGGGAATATGTCCACTGGACCAACGTTCTTTTTACAGATGAGAGCCGTTTTAGCATTAATTCGATCGATGGCAGGGAAAGATTATATCGCCGCCGAAAAAAACAAAATGAACAACTCAATTTCACTGCTACTGTCTCCCATGGTGGAGGTTCAGTAATGGTCTGGGATGGGATATGTTTAGGGGTACGAACAGAATTGGTAGTTGTTAAGGGCGCTTTAAATGCAGACGGATACATACGAGATGTTCTGCAACAGCATGTCATACCATTCGCACCCCATATCGAAGAAAACTTCCTGCTAATGCTCGCCCTCACGTGGCGCGCCGCGTCTCCGACTTTTTGAATACCGTCGGAATAAGTGCAATTGATTGGCCTGCATGTTCCCCAGATCTTGATCCGATCGAACATATCTGGCACATGTTGGGAAGACGATTAAGGTCCTGAATTCCTGTAGTTAAAAATCGCGAACAAGCAGCAGCTGCTCTGGTTGAGATCTGGGACAATCTGCCCCAAGAGATTATTGATGATGTCATCAGAAGCATGAGGAGACGAATGATTGCTGTCATAAGGGAGCGTGGAGGCCACACGCGTTATTGAAAGATTCATTTTTTCGGGTCCGCTCTATTGAATCGTTATTGTTATTGTGATTTTTTCTGCCATTGGTTCCCAAGTCTACAAATAAAAAAAAAACTTCAACTTGATCCTTTTTTTGAGTTGCTGTCAAGGTGAAAATTCGTGATTTTACTTGATCAAATAATAATAAAGGACTCCACAGAAACCTTATGAGAACTGGCCCTCAGTGGAATCTTATGAAATTTTGCATATTGACAGTTATTGACCTATAGCAACTACGAAGTAGTATTGTCTTTGCCTATAGATTAAAAGTGTCCATGGGCCCAAAGTTCTTAAAATTCGCTTTTTTGAGTTACAGTCGTTTGAAGTTGCGTCATATGTAAAATTGCTCAAACCTTATACAGTCTAGTTTTTTCGGTTACTTCGTGTATTTTAGAACGACATATGCATAGTATAATACATTTCAAATTATTCGATTCCAGAAATGGCGATTTTTAAACCATAGACGTCCTAAGAGGGGTTTAAAAATAATTATGGGTAAATAATGAGGTGACTACAGGACAGTACAGGTAGTAAAGGTACCATCGTCACCAAAAGTATCTGGGACACAAATAATGCATAAGAATCTCCTGGACTAATTCTACTGTCATTCATTTCAATGCATTTGATTCATAATTTGACAAATATTTGACAATAAAATTCATGTAATAGGACAAGAGCTAATGTGATGCTGTCCCAGTTACTTCTGGTGACGATGGTACATGTTCGATACTAAATTGATGAAGGAACATTGGGTGGTATGAATAAAAATGAAGTACATGCTACTACTACAAGTAGAAGTATATTCTACGAAGTATCTACTTCACAAATAAGAATTTACTCTAATGTCCGGTAGTTTCGAAATGTAGTATCTACTCCATGAAATGTAGTATCTACTCCATTTTGAAGTAAATACTACGAAGAATATACTAATACTTGAAGAAGTAGCAGATACTTATTCGTTTTTATTCATACCACCCATTGTATTCAGTAGAAAATAAAGCATTGTATGCACCAGTCGAAAAAAATCAACCCACTCGCTAGGGCTCGTAAGTTAAACTTTCTTCTCATGGATAAACATTCATTTAACTCACTTGGTGTATAAATGACTATTATTTTATAATTATTTTCAACCCCTCTTAAGACGCCTATGGTTTTAAAGTGGCCATTTCTGGAATCGTATAATTTAAAACGTATTATACTATTTACAATGATACTATGATGTTCTAAAATTCACGAAGTAACAGAAAAAAACTAGACTGTATAAGGTTTGAGCAATTTCACATATGACGTAACTTCAAACGACTGTAACTCAAAAAGGCGAATTTTTGAAACTTTTTGTCCATGGACACTTTTAATCTGTAGGTCAAGAACTATCAATATACAAAATTTCATGAGATTTCACTGAGGGCCAGATCTCATAAGGTTTCTGCGGGGTCCTTTGTCAATGTCCTACCGATGTGGCGAGATCTGTTCAGGGGTAAATTGAAAAAGTCCTAAGCCTTGGTTAAGTGTGCAGGGAGAGTTTAGAGAGTTAAGTTTAGATAAATAACATTCCACTAAATGGAAATCATGAAAGGGACTTTCTGATACCCCTGTATATTTGTGAGCATTTTTTTCACAATAAATTGGTCGGTAAGAGGTAAAACTGCGAGCAACATTTAACTTGAAGTAAACATTCACACACACGACTTGAAGTGGCAAAACGACACATTTTCAAATTTTCATATCCACTTCGTATGTCGACTTGAAGAAAATTGAAGTCAATATCCACCTTTTCTTCAAAACTCTGTATTTTCAATAATATTGAAAATATCAAAGTGAATAGAAAATGAAAATGTTCGGAAAAGATCAGGCAAGAATTTGGTGTTGAAGACTGTCCTGAATCTGAATTTCCAGTGGTTCACTCCACAGGGTGTCTCAAAAAAATCTGAAAGTTTCTGACTTTCTGTCCATCCCTGTATATGATATAAAGACGAATTATTTAATAGCGGTAATGCGTCAGATGTATTCCTGAGGAATTGAGCTAAAATCTGTGAAAAATTCATCCAAATTCAAGAGAAAATTGATGTCAAACTTAGTGTAAATTTTGTCCGTTCCCCTAATTTTGCCGGTATGTATATGTTTCTGTTAAAAAAAATTCTAGAGCGACTTCAGAGTTCAGGAGAGTAGAGCCAACAAAAATATAAACAAACATTAGCATAATGTAGATTATTGAGAAGACATAAGTCAAGAGGCAAAGCCTAGAAGAACCCCTTAACTAGTTTATGATTTTTTTGAAGATAGTAGCTTTCAACGTTCAAGGATATTGACAAACCTTAAGCGTCCACACCAGAGCCGACTTAGGTGTGGACGCGGCTTTACCAATATAGCAGCAATAATGCAGAGTGTTTTACGCAACAGTTTAAGAGTATTTTTACTATTCTGGATACAAACAACCTTAGGCCCACACGAGAGGTAAACCACCTTGAAAAATGTGTACACCAGAATCCCACTTTCAACAAAATTCTACTGGAATCCCACGATATCCTACTTGAATCCCAGGGAATCCTACTGAAATCTCACGCAATCCTACTCTACTAGAATCCCACGGAATTCAATAGAATTTCTAGAAGAATTCAATGGAATTTATTGTGAATTTTTAAAATTATGTTGTTACTATTTGTCTCGCAAACTATTAATTCTGACACAAGATCGTGGGAACGGGAAAGGCTTACGCAACACAATGTTTTTCTATGCGACGTTTCGTAACTATTGCTACTTCTTCAAGCACTGCAAGAAATAGAAACATTTACAATTGTTTTGAACGCTAGCAAGCAAAGACTCTGGACAAAACAGTCTTCCTTTTTAGTTTAGTTGCCACTACATAGGTAAAAACCGAGGGGTGGTTAACTCCTTAGAATATGTACACAGATTATAAATCTTCAATGATTTTTTAGGATTTTGAAAATCTTCACATGATTTTACAGGATTTAAGAAGATTTTTGAAATCCCAGAAGATTTTCAAGATTTTAGGGGATTTTAGAGATTTTAAAAAAAAAATGGAGATTTTAACAGATTTTTGGAGATTTTAAAGGATTTTTGAGGATTTTGAAAGATTTTTGTAAATTTTAGAGGATTTTTGGAAATTTGGAAAGATCTTCTG